CAGCCACAACGTTTTACCTTGGTACTGCCTTCTAAAAGAGTATGATGCTGGCAGAAAATGTAGTGAAAATAACTCAGTAAAACTTTTCACAATTATATTGTAGTTCTAGTTTTAGTCTGGTGAAGTTTATATGTGTTTTCTAATAAATTGCTTAACGAGGCTGCTTTTCTTCTGTGATGTTTGCTTCATTCACAAAGAAACTTGACTCTTCTCCTTTCAGGGTGAGCTGAAAGACCTTGCCCTTTCCTGCAGCATAGAAGGCATGACTGAGCCCCTCTTTCTGAGCATTTCTGGGGAAGTGAAAGGACTGCATGTCACCTACTCAGTACCTTCTGACAGTGGAGTTGCCAGGTAAATCAAGAGTTTACCCCAGAACTGAACAAAAATTACTCCTTCCCAAAGCAAACATACAACAGAGGGCAACCCCCCACTTATCCATGTGAACTTCATCCCTCCTCCTGCTGCAGGCAGCAAGGACAGTAAAATGCACTGGAAGAGTTCACTGAAGGTGCCCATGTGAAGGAAAGGTGCTGGATTTGCACCCTGACCAAATTCAGCATCTTTCTAGGCCCAAGGCTGGAAAAGAGCACTACTCCACTCCCACCATTGTTTAGCTGAAACCAATTAACAACTTAACTGAATTCACTGATTAATGAATAAGAAATTGGTGTGAAGTAAACTGCACATCAGTGAAACTCACATTCAAGTGCTGTGTCAGTTCCCCCCCGTGCTCCTGGTGTTGGTAACCTGCCAGTTGCCCTGACACTTGTGTCTGCAGAGGGCATGAAAAACTGCCCTTCTCCCTGGCACCCAAAGGGTGGCACCTCTGTGGTCCCTCACGTGTTTGTGAGCAACAGCTGTTCTCTGGAATGCCAAAAAATCACAAGATGTGGATTTAGAATTACAGAACTCTACCCAAGATCCTGTGTTTTGGACCATTAAGTTTTATTGTTGCACTGTGAGTCATATTAAAGAAAGATGAATATATTTCTCTTTAACTTGCTACATCTGACTGATTTTTACTTTATGATTTGTAGCACAAATAGTCTCTTTTGGAATATCCTTATCTTTATATATTTTTATGTAAGTAAAAGTGGCTTTAATTTGGTAGGTCAGCATGTTATACATAATAATTTTACTCAGAATAAACCCTTATGTGGATAGAAGAGGAAAAAATGAAGAGCAATAAATATTGGTGACAAAACCCAAAGGCTGCACTGTCCTTTTACACTGATCATCACACCCACACTGAACACTGCACGTTTTAAACTCTACTGGCATTATCTGAGATAAGAAAATAAGACTGTTTTAATCCTACCATAATTTTTTCTGACAGTGATGAAAGACAAATGTTACAAAGCCCGTGTGATCTTCTTTTGGATTTTGGATCTGAAGTTGCATTCAAAGCTGTAGTAAAGCGTCAGCTCCTCCTTACCAATCACACTGCAGTCAGTGCTCCATTCAAACTAGAAGCTGAGTATTTTACTGGCTATTCCCTTCCTCCAGAACAAGGAACCTGCCTGTAAGTCTTGCTCTCTCTGTGAAAGATAAAACACTCCTGTTGCCAGGGGACATAAGCTGGTTTACACCAGCCAAGGCTCTGTTGGGTTAGATTGTACCCAGAGTCTTACAGCTCTCAAGCTGATTTGCTCTTAAGGGCATTACATTCAAAAAAATGCTTTGTAGGCAGTTCTGCTCTAGCTTATAATGGCCACTAATTTAGGAGTCTGGGGGAGCTGTTACTTTAGTAGAGTCCCTCTCATTTCAGTGAGAATAGTCAGTGTGATTTTTGTTGTTGCTTTTTCAAGCTCTTCAAGCTACCTCATGAAAAGAAGAGGGCCAGTCACAAAACATGCAGCCAGAAGAGCCCAGTCAGGTATGAGAATAGCTGTTAATCCCCTCAGTGGAGACAAGGCAAAGGACAACTGACTAATATATCCAGCACTAAATGTGCCAGCCAGGCACATCTTTTCATCCTTGGAGTATCTGCCTAAGTCTGTCCTGTTAAATGACTTTGTTCCTCAGCTCATCCTCGAGTTTGAAAACCCACACTGCATTAGCTCTGCTTGTTTTTTTTCCTCTCTCTCCCCTCACCCCTATTTTAATTTCTCCCTCCCTTTCTTTATGTCTATTTTTCTTCTTCTTTCTCTTGAAAACAAGTCTGAAACAAAGCTGGGTGATTCTGGTGATAGGTCCCTCCCAGCAACCAGTATGGATAACATGCATAAGGTTTGGCCATTTCCCTCCTACACAGTCTTGCAATACTGTTGCAGCAGGCTTTTCTCCATCTAAGGCTTTTTTTTACCTACCTTCCCCACTGTGGAAAGCTACAGCACAGCCCATCTATCATTTCTGATGTGTTGTACTGAAAAATAATAATATTTGGAGCCACATGAGACCCAGGGAGGAGGGAAATGGGAGCAAAATGCTCTAAAGTATGGATGTATCTTCTGTATCCAAAATAAAACTTGGACATATTGGTACCTTGCCATACTGTTTGGTATCTGTTACAAAGACAGAGCTTTTCAGCTGTTGAATTAGTACTTCAGACTGGAAAAATGCTGTTCTGACAGATTCCATGCAAGCTTATTGGTTTAAAAGGCCAGGTGACTCAGAATGTGGAAAGGCTTTGCTCTGTGTGATTCATTCTTTGTGTTGAAGAGCTCACAGAGCTATAACAGGCAGCTGCTAATAGGACAATAACCAGTTAGCACAAATTCCAGCTTATTTTTCTCAAACTGAGGGTGTGTTTTCATGCAACCAATTAGTGCCTTCCATATCCCAAAGAGTCCTGGATCAGGTTGTTGGAAGCGAGTCTTCCTATGAAATAATCTCTGCAAGAACTCACTCTCAAAAAAACAGATTAAGATCTCCTGCAGAAGGGAGCTTGGGTAAAAATGTGGGTTCTGTAAATGGTCCCAGGCTTTTTTGAACCCAGTGAGGTTAGGCTGATTAACACCAGCTAAAAAATATGGCCATAGGTATTAATTGAAAGACTAACTTTGTTCCATTTCCTCAAAATTCATCGAATGCTTCTCTGCTGTGCTCCTGCAGAGTTTGCAGCAGCAGTGCTGTCTCACGGGAAGGGAGTAGCTTTCCATGTGCAACCTTCCACAGGAACTCTGAAAGCCTTCCAGCAGCTAACCCTAGAAATAACAGCTTACAACAACATGTGGGGAGAGTACCGGGATGATCTGGTCGTTAAGGTACGCAGGGCCTCGGCTTTAAGGGAAGCATTACTGTGGCAGAGCTTACACCAGTTGTGTTTCCCCAGATTCCTTTCTGTTAAAAATACTTCCTCAGTTTTTAGGACTTGTTTTTTTTTCTGTAAAAAAAATCAGGGTAGGTTTTACACTACCACTCCCTCTGACAATATGCAGGGAAGAATGGTTTGTTCTTACCACGCATGGTTTAGTTTTGGGGTAACGTGTTTATCCCTGGGGAGATTTTCATGTGCCTTTTGAAATGACTGGAGCAGTTTTAATTTATAAAATCTGTTTGGTAGCTGGCCAGTGCACTGCTCTGCTCTACCAGTACAATATATTGTGTTGTATGGAAAAGATGCAGGGAAGCTGGTGACCAGATGAGTTATTGCATTCTCCTGCTGAGAAGAGCTTTCGTTAGCATGTGAATTAGATGCTGTCAAAAGAAAACAGTCAAAAATATTGGAAAATCCAATCAGTATTCAAAATGTAATTTTGTAACCCAGAGAAATAAAGTTTTATCTTGACCTTAATAACAAACATTTGTTTTTAATAGGTGGGAGACCTGCAACCTAAACTAATTCCTATGCAAATGACTGTGAAAGGCTGTCCAATCTTCCTGCAGATGACAGGACCACAAACAGAGCAACCCATAATCAGGTACAGCACAAAAAACTGTCAGAGAAGTCAGAGAATTAAGTACCACTGGACTGTAGCCAACATACCTGCCCGTCCCCATCTCTTTGTGATACAATGAGAAGGTCAGCAAAGTGGCTGTCAAAGTAGAGTGTCTGCTCCTGCAACACAAACACATACAGTTTTCCTCCCTGCCTCTTCACCTGGACCAGGAGAAATGCAGCCCCGAGGTAAACAGAGGCAGGGGGAGGTTTAAACCCTCTCATGCAGCAAGTTGCATCTGCACATCTGGGGGAGGGTTGGTTTCTGGGCACCACAGCACCAGAGACTCAGCCAGCTGCTGTGCAGCATCACTGCTGCTCTCTGACCTGGGAGCAGTTAGCATCAGAATGGGTCATGCTGCAGCCAGGAGCATCTGCAGCCTGGTCCTGCCCCTGGAAATCTCAGACACAGGTCACTCCACTGCTCTGTAGCTGCTGCCAGAGTTTTTCACAAAAGCTGCCTTCACATCTTTACCCTGAAACACCAGAGACAACTAAGAAAAATGCAAAAAAGAGGCTGATTAAAGAAAGCAATATTGTATTTCACAGTACAGGCCCTGCTTTATCTGACCACCGCTCTTACCAGCTTGGCAGTGCAGCCAGACACATTTCCACTTTTAAACAAACCTTTAATGATTTTGGACGTTGACTTTTCTTTTCTGCACGTGCTGACAGCAAGGTTCCCCCCTCAGGTTTGGCACTCATGTCTCAGGAGGGTCTCCTGTCCATCGGAGGGTCCAGCTCAACAATCCCACCCCCTTTGGTAAGAGTGACTTTTGTACAGCAGCCATCGACGCTTGCATTGTGCTCCTGGTGAGGATAAAACCAGGAGAAACCATAAACATGTTAATTAACAGGCTTGTTTCCTAATCAAGATAGGCTTTACAAAACCAATAATAGTATAGAAGCAGGTAGGCTCCAGCCAGGGCCCCATAAAATAGATGTCATTGACTCTGTGTTGAAACTGCACATCCTCTCCTAACTTGGCTGGGGTTTCCCTCGTCGAAATTATGGTTTCCTAATCAAGATAGGCTTTACAAAACCAATAATAGTATAGAAGCAGGTAGGCTCCAGCCAGGGTCCCATGAAATAGATGTCATTGACTCTGTTGAAACTGCACATCCTATCCTGACTTGGCTGGGGTTTCACTCGTCAAAATTATGGGAATTTAGGATTTTCCATCCTGTTTTTATAAGCCTTTAGTCCTGGTCAATCAGATGTGTTACCTGCTTCTTTGTGGCATCATCTGGCTCTTCTGTGTTACAGTTCTTTTTATCTCTTGAGTGAGATTTGAAGCTCTTCAGAGCAAAGGTCAAACAATTTTTTTTTTCCTGAATGCCACCAAATACACTTGCTTCACAAATGAATTACTTGTTATTTATTTTAATGTTATTAAAAGTATAGTTTAGGACTTAGGAAGTGGCCAAGCTATAAGAGCATAGCACACACAGTCTTAACTCAGTTTAGTTTACAGCAAACATGGAAAGGTTAAGAGGTGCTTTAATAGCAGCCCAGTTGCTAGGCACAGATGTGAGACTTGATATTCTGCTTCTCTGGTACCAACTAAGCCACGGGTCTTCTCAGTGACCAGGACTAATTGTCCTTTCTCCTTTTCAATTCAGACATCCGCCTGGACTTGGAAATTTATAACCAAGAGGAAGATGATAACAAGCTGGTGGACCTGCTGATGCTCTTTGGAGACCCTTTTCCTCCTCAGGGCATGGCTGCAAACGAGACCACATCCATTGGTGGCAGCTCGGCGTCAGGGGTCGTGTCAGAGCTGGATCCAGCTGCCCTTCCCTGTGGGAGCACTTGTCCAGCTTCCCAAACCACGGATGAGGTCAGCTGTTGGTCTGGGTTTGTGCTGCTGCTGAGATACATGATGGGTTTCTTGGCATGGGAGGCTGAAAACAATAACACACGATGTAACTTGTAGCTAAGAGCTGGGTTGTTAGAGGGGACATCAGCTCCTCTCTGCTGGTATCAGGGATGAGCTTCCAGAATGAGCTATAAGCACACAGCTCTGCAGCTTCTCCTTCTCTTAAAACTGTTAAAGAAGCTGATGAGATACTTTAAAAAATACTGTCATTGGAAAACTAATGATATTTTCACATGGAAGTGTTACCATAACTAAAACTCCTTACTTTGGGCCTGCTTTTCTCATGGGTGCTTTATGGTGTCAATGTGTGCCAGAGGCAGGGACCTGAATCTCACCTGTGAGTTCAAACTGCAGCTCATGATCTGGAGGTAATTATCCCAGGGCTAGGGCTAGATTGGTTCTGTTCCTCTGGTAACATCTATCACACATGAAGTTTGACTATAGTATGGCAATTTTGGGAAGGGCTGGGAGCGACAGGGAGAAGGTTCCGTGCAGGATATGTAAAGTTCTCTGGCAAAAACTTTACAGAAAAGAGAGTAAAAGCACATTTTCTCTGCTTCAGCTCAGACGGCAAGAGTTGTTTGGAATCCACCTCTGACCTTTCTTGTGGAACAGGGGAACATTATCACCTAGAGTGCTGGTGTGTCAGGGCTGAGGGCTTCTCGTGGTAGAACAGGACCCAAGCATGCACGTGTTCCAAGGAGTTCAGGAGCAGCTTCAGGACAGCAAACCTATGCATGAAAAACTGTACAGGGCACATCCACGTGTCCAGCTTTTGTGCCAGAAATAAGGAAGCTGGAGCTGGCCACACTTGCTGACTAGCACAGCAGTTCCCTGTGCACTTCACTTGTATTCCTCCTCGTTTTAACCATTTACCCTCCAGGTTTAACCACTCCCCACCCTTGTCTCCCTGCAGCCTTCAGACTCTGGCAGTGAGGAGAAGGAAATTGGCACTCAAGAACCTCCAGTACAGAAAATTGTCTCTGTACTCATACGACCTCATGAAGGGGTTCCTGCAGACGACCCCTACTCCATTACTCCAAGGCAGATAGTAAGATTTTACATTTTCTTTAGGCTTAGATATAGCATATTTTATGCAGGATGGAGGAGACAGAGCAGGTAGTAGCTTTGGTTTGAAGTAGAGACTACCAAACAGTGAAACACCAGACTGGGAGGCTTTGGGATATTGGTGATGACCATGAGAAGGTTTTGAAAATTTAACAGAAAAACGAGTGTCCTACCTCCATTTAAACAGGTAACTGACGACTGGAATTAAGTGTCACTTGTACTAGGCTCCCTAGGGTGACATCTCTGCTCTTGCCACTGGGGTTGTCGTGGTGAAATGTGTGCCATTAGGTGGGAGGCATCCAGCCTGGTGTCTTGGAAGCATGTTCTTCAGCCAGGGTTGATTTGCTAAGCAGATGTGGCAGAGCTGGGAAGCAGGCTGCTGGGAGAGGGGTGACTCTGCAGACAGCTCTTGGATAAACTGTTGTAAGCCACAGCACTTCAAAAGTAACTGGTGCAAACAGAGACCACAGCATCACAATTCCCTAGCAATAAGACAAAGACAGCACTGGAAATATCTAATTATGAGTGACAGAGTTGCCCCAGACATCTACTATGGCTCCAGAAGGAGCTTATTAGCTCTGCTCTGGCCCTGCCAGACCTCAGGCAGAGCTTTCTGATGCTCCCCACCCCTCTGAGCAGGGAAACACAGTGCAAAGGAGACCTGAGCTAGTTTTGCTTCTGCTGAACATAGGTCCAGCACGACCAAACATCTCCCTGTGTGAGCACATGCATCATAGAATCATTTAGCTTGGAAAAGTTCTTTAAGCTCATCAAGTCCAACCGTAAATGAAATGGAGGAGTTTGTGTCAGGACAGCACTAGCCTGAAAACAGCACATGCCACATGGCCTCTGAGCTTATAAATTTGACTAGGTGTGACTTGAGAAGGGAGATGGCAAAGGGTTTTCTGCAGCAACAGCAGGGTTTAATCATAACCTGCATAATGCACCTAAAAAAGAACAGAATCTATTCAACCTGTAAATCCCTGAATATTCACTGCAGTGCATTCTAATGCATTCAATTGCATTCCCTCCTGTCCTCAGAAAAATGGCCAAGAGTAAACTGAACTGTAAAATACTCTGATTTCACACCTGTAACTCTTCACAAAAATATTTCTTCCATCTGTGAGTGCTGTTAGTTGTGGGAGAGCCGTCTGGGTTAGCCATGTACAAGTGGGCAGAACTGGGTGTATTTAAAAACAAACAGGTTTGTGCTTATGTGTGTGCACTTGAGAGAGTTGCTCTGGGACTGTGCTCAAACCCTGTTGATGCCAAAGAGCAGCTACGCCGATATTTGCAGCTGAAATCATTGTCATTTTGTTGTCACGTGTCGTCATTTTAGTAGCCTGAGCGTAGCCCATCCCCAGGAGATCTCACGCTGCTTGTGCATCTGGTTCTAGCAGCTGAGTGCTGAGGGTGCTTGTGCAATCCCAGGCAGCTGCTGAGCTGTTGTCTCTCTGCTGCAGGTGGTTCCAGGAGGTGGCAGCAGCTCCGTTTGCATCTCCTTCACCCCCGGCGTCCTCCCGGAGCCGCTGGCTGAAGCGCGGTGTGAAGGGCATGTGCTGGGTTTCATGAGCCTGGACGACGAGGTAAATGCCTCTGGCAGCGAGGCCAAAGGTGACTAGGAAATAACTGTCCCCCTTCCTGTAGTTCACGTGGCCAGCCTGTGTCAACAGTCCTGTCCCTGCTGCCCTGGACATCCTCCCCGACCCAGGGTTGTTCATTTGTTTTGTTTGTCCTCTAGCCAGAAGCATCCTGGGGTGGGAGTGTCACCACCTTCATGCTGTGCCTGGGGTGGTGGACCCCAGCTGAGAGCCCAGGGGTTGAACCACCCTCACATGGGGTTTGATGGGTCACAGGAGTTAATGGGGCTGAGACTCAGCACTGCTGAGTTCTGCTCCTGGCCCTGGGGCCCCCTTCCCCATCTGTGAATGTGGAGAGCAGCTCTCCTCTGGGAAACGTCCTCCTCAGCACCACGAGTGCAGCTCACAGGCTGACGTGAGGCCTCAGTGGTGGTTCATGAATTGCTCTGTGACTGCCTGACGTGAAGCATTGCAGAGGTGCAAGGTGTGAGGACTGAATAATAGCACATTTAATAAAATTAAACACCCCTAACAGCCCCAGTTCCTGGAGGAAGAGGCATCTGCAGCCATGTTACCCACAGCCATTCAGAGCTGAACCACTGCTGAGCTGCTGTTCCTCTCATGTTGCCACCACATCTTAGAAACATTGTCAAGCAGAATCCCATTTTGGCCAATAACCTCTCGGGCTAAAAGCAGGGGTTTGGGTTTTGGGGCTATCATTTTATACATCACTTCTGTTTGCATTTTGTTGCCAGCTTGCAAGGATGGTGCCCAACAAGGTGCATCGCAGACAGGGCTACGAAGCTCCACCCTTACGAGTGGACCTGGAGGGTTCTGTAGGACGTGCTCTGTAAGTGCCATCACCCTGAGCCAGGACACGGCCTGGAGGGCAGGGCTCTGACCAGCTCTGCTCCTCTGCACTCAGGTTACAAGTAGCCACGGACCATGACAGAGGAATGGTGTTTTATTCAACGGCGAGTGATCTCCTAGCAGATCAGCCTCTGCTGGGGGTGAGTGCTTCACATCCTGGTGTCTTTGGCTGGTTTGTATGCTGTGCCACTGCAACAATTCAGAGCTGTATGCACAGGGTTTCTAAAAAGCATCTTGAACCCCAGTAGCCCCATGTTGCAGTTTTCTACCTTGCCTGTAACAAGATAGGTAAAACAAAAGGGCTGAGTACACAATACCCAGGAATAAGCAAAGCTGAGCTCAGACAATGACTATTTTGTATGTCTTTTTCTTTCTTTGCAGAGGAAAATAAATAAGTAGAAAAATAAATAGCTATTTTTAGGACATAAAAGTCTGATAGCAGAATGAGTCACTTAGAGCAGCCTGCTCAGTTCCTATGACCCCTGACATTCAAAGATTTTTAAACTTTATTACATTATTTGTATTCTCTTTTTTAGTAATGAAAAACGTTTGAAAAGCACAAGCAGGAAATAGTGATTTCCTTTGGGGTGAAGCCCTTCAGATCCCCACTGGTGTTGAATGACCAGACAGACCAGTGCAAACCTCTCAAGGGAGCTAAAACTAACCAGATTTGACTCATCTCTCCATCAGGTTTTGACAGATTCGGTCATGACTCAGAGTTTGAAACTCACCAATTGCACTAAGGTTCCTCTGTACTTCAGGCTCCTTCTGTCTACGCCCTTCAGCCTGTCCAGCACAGATCCCAAAAAGAGCACCAAAACATCCCACAGCAAGGAGGAAAAAGAGCAGCGACCGCAGCTTGTACTTTATCCACAGCAAAACATGCTGGTAGGCTCAGAAATAATAATCCTGTGCCAGAGTAGATGGGTTAGTAATTGGTGTGTTAGCATGGCCCAGATGAACCACAAGAAAAACACAACCCGTACAGGATCTCCCAGTTTCAGGGGAAGCAGTGGTGTATTAGCAATGCTAATGACTGCAGTTTTTCCTGCTATGTTGTGGATACAGAATATTTTTGTACAGTGGCCCTGAAGTGCTTTTTTCCTCAGGTCTGACCTGCTGCAAACTCCTGCAGAAAACCCTGTGGCTTTTAGAGCTCACCAAAAGCAATAGCCATATAAATGCTGGACAAATTAAAAGATTTCCAAAGACTGCAGTCCCTCCTTCCCTTAAGTGAGACGCAGCAGTGCCAACACAGAAAAATGTGGTTTGTTTTGGGACATTAAGGAAAACAAAGTCCCAGAGTCAAGAATTAGCTGGGGTGCAAAGAATGAGGAGCAGCTGCATTTTTGCAGTGTACTGCTCATTTTTTGGTGTTCATTTGGACATAGACACGGGTGTCTTAATTCTGCATATGTGGGAAGAAAGGTTGATGTTGTCTAAGCCAGTTTTGGGACTATGATATTTGTAACCTCAGGAATTTAGAGCCTTTGTCTAGCTAGAGAGTGTTTGTCCTCTGTGGCTCAGGAATGAGCTGTTCACCTTTCCACTCCATTGCTGTGTGCTGCATTGATAGGAAGTAGCTGTGTTTTTTTCTTTAATTATGCTGCTCTGTGCCCGTGGGAATTTGGTTGCTGGCATGACACCTTTTGGGTTCCAGTGGGAAAATGTGCTCCTGGGCCTTGGAGCTGTGTTTATTTTGGATTTCCTGCACACGCTGTCTTCTTATGTGCTGGTCATGTGAGTTCCCCTTCCCACAGGTGAAAGTGTCATTCCACACAACTCTGGAGTTGCTTAGGCATCAGCATTTGCCAGATGCCCAGCTGCTTCCTGGATACCAAGTGCTCCAGTTTGAGAATGGAGAGAGAAAGCTGAAGTTCAACCAAAATCTGGTCATTGAACATAGCAATGGGACTAGCCAGGTAAGATCAGAGCAGGTCCCTGGGCCCCGAGGGAGGGCTGTGTTTTATCACTTCCATTCAGAGTTGGGGTGCTTTAGGACCTACTCTGGGGTACAGCCACCTCTAGAGCAGATGGTGTCATCTGGCTTTGCAAAAGGAGATGGCTCTGCTGAGGCTGCAGGTGACTCTCAGGTGGACAGAGAGGCTTTGGGTCATCACCCTGGTGCTCGTGGCCCAGCTCATTGCACAGCAGGATGGCTCAAAGGGCAGCAGGCCCAGTGTGGCTCTCAGTGTCCCTCCAAGGGACAGGGTCAGCAGCATCTCCGTGGACACGCCAGTGGCTGAGTCACCCAAATTGCCTCCTGCAGGGCCTGAGGGCTTCTTCAGCCTCCCAGTGCAGCTCCTGTGGTGCAGTCCCAGCCCACACACGTTTAACAGCCCATCTCCTCCAGATGGGAAGTCGTAACCCACCCCCACCAAGTCTCCTGCACCTCCCCTACACTGCAGGCAGTGATTTTTTTCATACCAGGTATTTCTGGGACGGACCTGTGTGGGGCCCAAGCACCACATCCAGGATACAATCAGTTTAGTAATAATCTTGGGCAATCTGCACAGATGGAGTGAGTCACAGCAGGCCATACACAGCCCCAAGGGAGCACCAGATGCTGTAATGTCTGCGTGGCCACAGAAAACCCCAGTAACAATTGGGAACGTTCACGCCGTGTTACTTCATTAGGACCAGTGTCTGGTTTGAAAACCTCTCCCAAAACAGTACAAGCAACAACTTGATTCACTCCAAGCTTAGAGTGGGGAATTGACTCTATTACAAAAGAACAACTACCCCATGCAGTGCTCGAGGTTAAGAATGATCCAGCTGTAGCAGATATTATCAAGCTCCACAGAAATGCTGTGAGTTTTTCCTCTCCCCTCTGTCCTGCAGCTGGTCCCAGTGACTGCATACCTCACTGTCCCAGTTCTGGAGCTCTCCTGCCACACGATTGATTTCAAGACCTGCTTTGTTGCACAGACCAGGACTGAACATGTCTTCCTGTGTAACAGGAGTGGCTGCAGGAGTTACTGGACTGCTTTGCTGGGTATTCTGGTTTTGCTCTTGGATTTCCTTGGTATAGTTTCACTGTTGAGGGGGTTTGTTTAGTAAGACTGCAGGCACTCACTCGGTATATAGCCAATACATGATGATACTGGCTGCAAACATAGCAGGTCTGCTTCTGTTCTCAATTACATGGGTTTTTCCTTGTGTTTTTATTTCTTCCCTTTCTTTGGACATCAGTGTGTTTCTACTGATTCCAGAACTTGCTCCAGCTTTAACCAAAACACTGAATCACAACCCTCACAAGCAGTGGACATGCTTTGCTCATCTGTAATACAATCCTAGGAGGCAACAAGAAGCAGCAGCTCCTCCTGAGCTCGGTTTGAGCTTGTGCCTAATGGTGTTCCCAACAGATGGGCTTCAAAGGAAAGATCAGGGCCTTATTATTTTGATGTGGAGGCACTGATGACTCCCCTGGATTAGAAAAAACAAAGTGGACATGCACATCCAACAGTGCAAGACACGTTGGGTTGATGCCACCCACCACACAACCCTGCACAAAGGGTCTTGTGTGGCTTTGTTTGACATCTGCCCCCTGCACTGCAGGTGACCAGGAAACGTCCAACGACCCAGCAGGATTTTCTGTCTCTCCTACCAATGGCGTTTTGGAGGCACGTGAAGGGGAAGCACCTACCAGAGAGATGCTGCAGATCAGCTTTACTGCCAGGTACCAATAACAGGGTGAGCTCTTGCTGCTACACCCCATCAACACACACCAGGCTTGCAGTGTGAGCAGTCACTGAAAGCAAAGAGCAGTTCTGCTCTGCTCCTGTGTCCTTGTTGCCAGGCTGCTCGTTTTGCTTCTAACACTCCCCAACCCTGGGCTTCCAGCTGGTGCTTCTTCCATGGAACCACGTTCCTGACTCTGCTCCCAGCCATACGACTTCTTCTGGACTTGGCACCCAGAATTTCAGCTTTTAGGTCTCCCCACTTGTAATCACACTGTTCCAGCAGCTGGCATAACACACTGCTGGATAAAGCCCCTTTCCTTAGGGCAACGTCTGCAACAGGAGACATGGCTCAGGCCTGGAATTCAGTGCAGAGGCTGATACAACAGTTGGGTCCTTCATGCATCCAGCACTTTGTTAGGACAGAGGGAGAAATGTCTCTGCAGGAGTTCAGAATTCCAGTAAAGGAGCTGTTTATCATGCAGGAAATAGTGTTTTACAATGAGTCTCAGGGATCCTTTATTACAGTTTGTGGCTTCTCTCTAAAATAAACTTTCTGAAGTCCTTTACTTCCCTACTAGGAGCACCTCCTGGTGAAGGAAATGGGGCAAAATGTTGTTCTGATGCTTTGATGCAATTTGTTGTACCCTTGCTCTGCCTCGTGCCCTGTTTAGTGTTAGTCTGTTGCTGTTTGATGAGAAAAAAAAGAAAAAAGGGTATTTTTGTTGCCTCTAGTCCAAAGGTTTTCTACACAGCAAAGATAACGTGAGCTGCAGGCAAGTGACAGCAGAGAGCATATGAAAATTACTTTCTTTGTCCTATAAACATCTAATATTGTTCTAATTATGTTTGTGGACACCTCATCATAACCTTTGTCAAGGTGAGGGATTAATTGTGACTGGCAGAGGTACTGACCCAAAGCCTTTAAATTGCTTTGCTCTAATTAAAGAGAGGCCACTCCTGTAAGAGAATTCTGCTTCCATTCCAAGTTATTTTCTTGGAAATTGCAGCAGAAAGTTTATCCCTGTGATTTCTGTGACCAGGGCTGACAGAGGAGTTTCAAGAAGCAAAGCAGGGCTGCCCCAAGTTCCTGTGGTAACCTCCATCTCCCTGAACACACTGCTCCACCCCTGGAGCTCCCGCAGCCTCGGCGGGGTGAAGCTGCCCCTGCTCTGAGCAGCGTGGTGGACCAGACACCCCCCAGGCTCCCGACTGCCCAAAGTTTGCTGGAGTGCTTCTGAACACGCCCGAAGCGTTTCTTTTGTCTGCCAAGGGCCGCCGATCAGCGGTGCCTGCAGTGCCTGGGAGCAGGAGCTGCTGCCTAGCACCAGCTGCTCTGCTCAGCTCCAGCAGCACTCCCAGCACAGCAGAGCTCGGCACCAGCGTGGCATTAATAAATAATCACATGCAGGGCGATTTTAATAATTCACCTCCCTAAACCAGCCATCTTCCTGCGGGGAATTTGCTATGAGAAGGAAAAAATAAAAGTCACCTGGCAGAAGAGGCTCTTGCCTCAGGCCTTTACACCAGCGTCTCAGCCACAGAGTCCCTCAGCTGGATGCTCCCAGGAGCTCTGGGGAGCATTAGCCTTAGGCAAACGATGCTGCCAGGCAGCACACAACTCTTGCTGAAGGCTTCCTGGTGTTCATTTGCAACCTGGGCTCCTCCCAGTGCCCCTTGTCTGAGGGGAGCTGGCAGAAACTCCTCTGTTCCAAGCTTTGTCTGTCACAGGGATGTGTTCACATCCATTCACAACCTGGGCTCCACCCAGTGCCCCTTGTCTTAGGGGAGCTGGCAGAAACTCCTCTGTTCCAAGCTTTGTCACAGGGATGAGTGTTCACACCCAGGCAGTGCAGGTATTTGCTCTGTTTGCTCCCAGACACTTGCCCCCAGCAGGGCTTCGTTTGATTTAACTAAAATGGAATTTGACAAGTAGGAAGATACTCAAGTTGTTCTTTCAAACGTGGAGTTAATAACTCAGTGTCTTTGGACCATTGTTTTCGAGCCTCCTGTATGTAGCTGAGGGACAGGACCCTGTGAAGTCAGATTGTCACCTGCAAACAGCACTTGGGACTGGGAGCAGCTCATGTCCTAGGGCACCATCTTCTCCTTTCTTCTCCTCCTCTCTAACTCGTCTGATCCTTCAACAGAGAACTGCATCTTGCTGTAGCTGAACTGTCTTTCTGCTCTGTGTTTAGGAGTGACACCGAGTATGAGACCATCATGACCATCACTGGACTGCTGGGAGAGAGGCCTTGCAAGCTCCACATCAGGGGACGAGGGACATACGATGGGAAGTACAAAGACCTGTCTTTAACCTCAGCAAGATGGGGACAAGTGTCAAGGTAATGGCCTGGATGCAGATGCTAAGCCTGTATTTTCACCTACTTCAGTTGTTTTCATATGGACTGGAATTTTAGAAGAATGAAATTTTAAGTTACAAGAAAAAAACCCACATGCTACTTTAAGGAAAAGAGTCATAATCTCATTTTGTGCTATTTTATTGCTGTGATAAGCTTACCATTACCCACAGAACCAGGCTCTGCCAAATAATCAGTTTTAAATTGCAAAGCAGCTATGGTAATATATCACAGTATGCCTCAAGTTACAACTAAAGACCTTCTGTACCTTCAAAAGCAGCTTTTGTTTTGCCTTGTTTATTAGTTTGACACTAAAATGGACATTGCCAGGTGATGAAAGCAAGAGCCAGTGCACAGGCCAGCATGCCCCGGGCCGTCCTCGTGGTGCCTTACACGAGAAGGGGAAGAGCCAACTTTCCCTGGACTCCCTGGAAAATGCCCAGCCCACATGTTTCATCATGCCTGGGTACTGAGAACATCCCCTTCAGCTACAGAGGGAGGAACCCTTCTTCCTTTTAATTCTTTCCCCCCACATGGTTCCCATTTACTCACACTTCTCTTTAAATATTTTTAGTATTACTTTAGCTAAAGGTCACTGAAATTCCCACTTCTGAGCCTGTTAAGTTTTCCATTTCCATCATATAAAAGGTTTTTGTTAAAGGCAGTGTGTGTGGGGAGGAGGGGGCTGCAATCCAGGCTGGAGGAGAAGAGGAGAGGCACCAGAGCTGCCTTCTGCCCAGATTAAAGCAGACTGGTCCAAGCAGTGAGAACACACATTCCACACAGCAGCCACTGAGGGAAAGGAGGACCCCTGAGGATGCTGATGCCTCTCTGCTCCCTCTACCTAATTCCATCTTCTCGCTCTGAAATCCAGGATGTGTGACTGCTGGGTGAGCACAGCACAGGAATGTGAGAATAGCAAATCGTTCTAATAGCTCTAACTAATCACAAAAAGAAAACAAAAGGATTGCAAGAACCCAGTTGTATTAAGTGCAAAGACAAGAGCCAGGACAGAGAACTTCAGCCTGTGTTACAAATTTAAACTTTTCTAACGTGTCAAAGGCTCTGAGTACATTTCCTTCCAAACTGTCAGCTCTGAGTTTGTGATCTTCCTGCCTCTGGTGCTGGCAGTAAGAGTGATGCTGAACTGGTTTAGGTTGGGTAAGTGAATATGGTCAGCATAAGCTTGTCCTCTAAGTTAGTCACCAGCTGATCATTAAGAGAAGTCTTGTAAAAGGTGGAATGGCCACTTCCAAATTCCTGCCTTCTGGAAAGCCAGCACAACCTTTGTGTTGAGGCATGTCCTGTGTCAATCCCATTCTAGTCCCTCTGCTTTCCCCCACGGGAGGTTTCAGAGCAGCTGGGTTAAAAGCAGAGAGCTACAGCACATCCTCCAGCACAGGGACGATTTAAGGCACAGCCAGGACAGACAGGGCTGTGAAGGGAACGAGGGTGAGTTCTGCACTGCTTCCAGAACAAGCTCTGCAAGATGGCAGTGTCTTAAAACCCTGGAAAAGAAGCCTTCTCATGTTCACTGCTGGTTTTGTTTGGAGAGACTCTTTTAGGCCATCTGTCATACAGAAACACTGAACCATGAACTACTTCTCTCTGATAGTATTCACAGAATAAAGAGATCAATTAAATTAGAAATATTCACTCATAATCACCACACAAGGGCCTGTAGTTGAACTTCAGCTGAACTGATTTCTCATGTCAGGATGCTTTTTAACTCTGAAGCAAATGGCAGTTTTTTATTTCCCCTCCTGGTTAGTAGATCTGTATGATTTATTCTGCTTCTCAATTTGTGCTGAAAATTTGTAGATCTAGTAACAGACCCCTGAATCCACTTGATTTCACAGTGCAAATCATTTGCTGTTACCACAGCTGTTGAGCTGTCACACCACCAGAGTTTAGTTCCCTGGGTACTCAAACACTGCTGCAGCACCCATGCCAGTCCCAATGCACATCGACACCACACCGTAGGCTCTGAAAGCAAAGGACACATGGAACTGGTATCAGGTTCAGATCATCAGGGGGAAAAAGGAATACGATAAATTTGAGCTGCTCTCCTGTGGCAGCAAGAGGTTCTAGCTCTGGAGCAGGGCCTGGTGCTCTGGAGTACTTGCAGGGTGCTGTTTGCAGAGCACATGGACGTGTTCTCTGCCTGCTCCCTGGAGAGGAGCAGCAAGCCAGAAGTGAGCTCCTCAGCCACCTGCCTCGGCCGACCTAGCAGTGAGGCTGAGCTAGAGGAACTGCTTTGATTCAGATGGGGTGAGGGATAAACTCCTCCTGCCTCCTACTGCTGCCCTTCACATGGATTTGCTACAGAAAACTCAAGGCAAATTTGGATACTCAGATGATGAGCAGTAAGGTTTGTGGAAAGCCTGATTGCAGAGTAAATTCTGCTGCTTCAGTTTAAGGTGGTTTAATGGTTTTGCCCAATCTGCTTCCATTTAACAGCTCGCCATCACAGCTACCCTCCCCTGGAGGCCTGGGGACAGCTCAGCTGCATGTGCCAGCCCCAGAGGGAGCAGGGGCAGAGCCAGCAGCAGCTATGGGGTCCCTTCCAGCTCAACCCAGACAGATGGTCGGCGATGAGCCCCAGTTACAGACACAGACCTGAGGCTCTGAGGGTCAGTGGGGTTCCTCAGCACTCACCTCTTCCCTCTGCGCTTCAGCTCATTGAGCAAGGTGACCACCTGCCGAGTGCCAGTGCAGCCCAGCGGGTGCCCCAGCGCGATGGCTCCTCCCAGGGGGTTGACCTTCTCCATGGGAATGCCCAGCTTCTCAACACAGTACACGGCCTGGGAAGACAGAGGGAACAGTTCCATGGAGCTGCTCCAAGGCTCCAAATTCCATGTTGGTTGGTTTCGTTTGGGGTTTGGTTTTGTTAGTATTAAGCAGGGCGTTGTTTATACAGCTTATTTGTCTTTGAAGGAAAGGGAAAAGAGTCAGCACATGTTACTAACATTTGGCTGCAGATGTAATATGTGGAACAAGTTCAAATCTTAACTCAGAGACAAGCTAAAACATACTCAGCTACCAAGAAATGCAGCAATCTGAACAGGCTGATCACTCACCTGGCTTGCAAAGGCTTCATTAATTTCATATATATCAATATCATTCAGAGTCAGACCTATGGTTCAGAAAAGTCAGGTTTTAAAAGGAGACATTTTTGCCTTCTATCAAAGAGAATAATTCACTCACGAGACTCTCACTGTGAATTCTATTTCTACTCCACTAATAACAAAACGAGGGGGACCTTGGCTCCACATGAGGTATCTACACTTTTACACATGTTCATGTACAACAGTGTCTAAAAAACACAAAACATCACAGTCCATGGTATTGTCACTATGTTTTCCTTAATTAGATGTGATTTCATTACAGAGAGATTAAAGATTGAGAGCTATTTTGAGACTGAAAGATAAAACTACAGGTGAGCATCCAACCATAGCAATGATAAGTGGAGACCACACTAACCATGAGCCATTAAAGCTATTTAACCCCATGAGCACGACAGGAACCCTGAGGAAAGCCTGTTCCTCTGGCCAGATGTCCAAATTATGGGGGGAAAAAGCCCCAAACCCAAACACCACACTCCTGCATGCTGGTCATATTAAGGAAAACAGCACTAAGTGAAAAGTAAATCACTGGCTACACGTGGTTGAGATTGTACCAGGCCTTAACCCTGAGCTTCTCAGAAGTGAACGGACGGCTGTGTATGCACGAGTACCAGTGAACAGCACTACAACACTGCGAGGCAGGATCTCTTTTCAGGTTTTCAGGTTCACTCCTCCTGTGGCTGACAGCTGCATGAGCCTGAATAGTATAATCTCTAATCCCAGTCCACAGAACGTGCTGCCTAGTGCAAAGGAGGGACACAGCTCCTACCTGCCTTCTCCACGGCCGCGGGGATGGCGTAGGCGGGCCCGATGCCCATGACGGCGGGGGGGACGCCCACCACGGCGAAGGACCTGAGCACCCCCAGGACTGGCAGCCCCAGCTGTGCTGCCTTCGAGCGCCTGGCCAGCAGAACAGCAGCTGCTCCATCGCTGACCTGGCTGGCATTGCCTGTTGGAGGAGAGCTGTTAACGTCGGCCTGGCCTGAGCACGGCCTGTTCCGAGGCAGGTGGCTGCAGCACCACCAGGCGCTGGACAGCAGAGCTGACCTGCTGTAGTGCTACCGTCCTCTTTGAAGGCAGGCTTCAGCTTTGCCAAGCCCTCCATGGTCGTGGAGGGCCTGATCCCTTCATCTTGGTGCACAGTGATTGTCTTTTGGTTGCCCTGATCGTCTAGAACAGTGGTCTTCACTGGAACAATCTCAGTTTTAAACAGTCCCATCTGCTGAGCTTTTGCTGCTCTGTTAAAAAAAAAGAGTACGAAAGGTTAGGCGATTCTGGTCACAGGAAACAGATCACTAACATTGTGGGCATTCTCCCAAACCCAGGTCACAGGACCACAGCCTTCTGAGCAAGATCCCCCTCCTGTTCCCATCAACACCTCTGCGACTGACTGGCCACCGCCAGCCCACAGCATGAAGTTGTACCTGTCCAGAGGCACAGTCACATCACAACAGCACAGGACCAAAAATGCATCCTGCTGTTCAAACATCAGTGCTTTTTGAAACAGGGCCAGTTAGCTAAACCAGCCCATCATGCTCAGAATTTCTGACATGTTAAGGAATGGCTGAAACTTCACTCATTCCTGGTTTGGTCCTACCAAAGACGAGCTGAGCTCTAGACCACAGAGTTCAGGTATAACCTTCTGGCTTTCATACAAGACATTTGGTTCTGGAG